AGAGACTGGCATATGGCATTGGTGAAGGTTGAACGCTTCTTGACAAATCCATGTTGTAAATCCAAAAAATAAACCTTTCCAATAATTTTACATAAACTCATAGAACCTCAGGAAAAACTTTGATAATAAATAGACTCAGAGAGAATAAAGAAGCTTCTAATATAATCAGGAAACTTAAGAGAACCTTAGAGATGTCCAGAGACCAACTGAATTTTAGAAATTATGACATTCCCGTTTATTTCCCGGATGCCCAACATATTTTTCCTGGTTTCAAATAAACAGCTAAAAATGGTTAAAAATAAATAAATACCGGGATGATTGAGCTCAGCTACTGATGTCACTAGATAAAAAGTTTCGAAATTGTGTTTTAAATCCAGAAAACTGCAGAAACCCGTCAGCTGGACCACATTCTGGTGGGGATCATTTCGGATTGAATCAAACACCAATGCGCATGTTTTTCAACTCTTCACTTTGTTTTCCTTTCAATTCTTACCATCAGCAACTATAAGATCCTTAAATTCCTAGAGGATGAAAATTCTTACGTAGAATGGAAACTGCGGTTTTCCCGTGTGGGTTCGCCAATATTGCAAAAGTTTAACTGAAATGGTCCAAACTCCGAAAAAAAACCTTAACTTTTACCGCGAAAGCTCATTTGCTAAGTTTTACTTTACTAAATTTCGAATGTCTCTAACACCTTAACACCTAATGGAACAATAGTGTAAATGATTTCTGGATAAAGGAAAATCTCACCTCCCGGAGGCTTACTCAAATTAGTACAACAGTTGAGGGGGGAAAAAATATAGGAATATGAGTACAACACATAATAAATTAATTAGATTTAGTCAACAAAGTAGAAGGCACGGGTAAAAAATCAGTGGTAATGTAGAATAGTGTCATATAGGAGGTAGTGGAGAATAGCTGCCGCTCTCACCGCGTGTTGCACCCGCGTTTTTCGCCACCTCAACCCATGACAAAAAAAAAGAAACTTTATTCAAACGTGTGTTTAACCAAAGACTGATTGTGCGTTTTCTTTCGGAAACTCACCCATCTTGAATTCGCAGCTGCGTTCGCATCGAAGGGACACTACAGCTCGCCCTGTTCGCCACCCCTCTTGATCACCCGGAGCTTTTCCTGCTTTGGTTTCGGCGTATCGTTCGGGATCTTCTCGTGGATCGGAGCCGGTTCCGATTTTCGCTCCGGAGCGGGCGCCGGGGTCGTGGTAGTGGTGGGGGTGGCCTTTTCCTTCTTCTTTTCCTTCTTTTTGGGAGCCTCCGTCGGAGCGGGCTTCTCCGCCGACGTGGCTGGCTTCTGCGCGGTAGTCGGCTTGGGCGGACTTTCCTGCTGCTTGGGTGGGGCTGGAGTTGTTGTAGGGGTGGTTGTGGTTGGCTTTGGCGTAGCCTTTTCCGTAGTGGTGGGCTTCGGGGTGGTTGTGGTGGTGGTCACTGGCTTCGCGGTGGTTGGCTTCGCGGTAGCTGGCTTCGCGGTGGTTGGCTTCGCAGTGGTTGGCTTCGGTGTGGTGGTGGTAGTGGTAGGTGGTTTCGGTGTTGTGGTGGTTGTAGTGGTAGTAGTGGTCACTGGATTCATACGGAAATTTTGTCAATTTTTGAGGGAGGTAAATGAGTAATGGAAATATTTATAGCGTTCAGAATCGGATTCTATGAACATTTTTGCAGTTCTTGCATATAAGCGAAGGCAGATTAAGCCCTTTGGATTCTGAACGCTAGATTTAGGCAACCCAAAGTAGCAGATTATTATTGGCATTATGACTATCATCTTTCTGTCTGTCTTCCCTGCCGTGTCTACCTTCCCTGCCGTGTCTACTTTCCCTGCCTCATCTGTCTCGTCTGTTTGGCTGACTCGTATCTTGTTCTGTGTAGTTTGTCTAGTCTAGGCTAAAGAGCCTGAATTTATAAAGAGACAACATGTCGAGATTATCTGTCAAACTCATAATAAAAGTTATTCCAATCGAGCAGAAGACCTGTCAAATGGATAAGATGTCGCCTCTTTACCCAATTCAGTCTCTTTAGTCTAGGCTAGTCGGTCTTCTCTTACTTGTTTATCTCGTCTGCTTTGTCTGCCTCGTCTGTCGTGGCTTGCTCGTACTTTGTGTCTATTTCGTCTATGTTGTCTGCCTGATCCAATTTATCTTTATCTTGTCCACCTCATCTGTCTTGTTTGACATGTCTAACTTGTATTTCGTCTTTCTTTCTGTCTGACTTCACTGGCCCGAATGTCTGTCTTGTCTGTCTAATTTGCCTCATCTATCTTCTTTGTGTTGTCTAATTTGTCTTCTTTTTCGGCATCCGTCTTATCTATCTTGTCTATCTCATCTGCCTCATCTGTCGCGTCTGTCTTTTTCTAATTCGTCTACTTTTTCCACCTCATCTGTCGTACCTGGTTTGCCTGATGTGTATGTCTCGTCTGCCTCGTCTATCTTATCTACATTCAACATATGATCTCAAATCCGCCCTTTTTGCCTCATGCAAAAACCTTAAAATGGCGTATTCGATATTTCCAATCGAAATTACGTCTGAGACAAAGTTTTTTTTTTTGCGATATTCAACATGGCCGAATTTTAGCTCAAATCTCAAGGAATGATTGGCCACAACAAACAATTATGCACTGTTTCATGCAAACCGAAGAAGGTAGCATCAGATCGATTCGTCATTTGGCGTGGAACTGCTCTTATCTGTTTGGATAAACTTGTCAACTGCCTCATCTATCTCTCATCTGTCTCATTTGTATTCTAACAAATTTTCTAACTAGTCAAATTGTGCTACCTCATCAGTCGTACCTACCTTGTCAGATTTGTCTGTCTGCCTATTCTGTTTTGTCTACCTCTTCCAACTTGCCTACCTTGTCTGGCTGCACTATCTCGTCTGATTTAACAGTGTTGTCTAACTCTTTTGCCTTGTCTGTATCGTCTTGTTTGTCTACCTTGCCTGGCTGCACAGCCTTGTCTGTTTCGAATGTCATGCATATCTTGACTGCTTTATGAGCCTCTTGTCTTGTTTGTCTTCAGGCTTGTTTGTATTTGTCCTCAGATTTGACTTCTATTGTCTGTCTTCAGTCTTGTGTTGGATTGCTGTGTCTTCAGTGTTGTCGGTGTCTTCAGTCTTATCTGTATATTCAGTCTTGTCTGTGTCTTCAGTCTTGTCTTGTCTGTCTTCAGTCTTGTCTGTATTTTGGGTCTTGTCTTGTATATCTTCAGTAATGTCCGTGCCTTCAGTCTTGTATCGTCTATCTTCAGTCTTGTCATGTCTTGTCTTCTCTTGATTGTCTGTATCTTCAGTCTTGTATGTGTTCTCAATCTTGTTTGTGTCTTCAGTCTTGTTTGTGTCTTCAATGTTGTCTGTATTTTCAGTCTTGTCTGTGTCTTTAGTCCGGTCATGGCTTGTCTTCTCTTGTTTGTCTGTATTTTCAGTCTTGTCTGTGTCTTCAGTATTGTCTGTGCCTTCAGTCTTGGCATGTCTTGTCTTCTCTTGCTTGTCTTCAGTCTTCTCTTGTCTATATTCAGTCTTGTCTGTGTTTTGGGTCTAGTCTTGTATATCTTCAGTAATGTCCGTGTCTTCAGTCTTGTATCGTCTATCTTCAGTAATATCTGTCTTCAGACTTGTCTGTATCTTCAGTCTTGTATGTATTTTCAGTCTTGTCTGTATCTTCAGTCTTGTCTGTGTCTTCAGTCTTGTCTGTGTCTTCAGTCTTGTCATGTCTTGTCTTCTCTTTATTGTCTTCGATCTTGTCTGTATCTTCAGTCTTGTATGTGTTCTCAATCTTGTTTGTGTCTTCAGTCTTGTTTGTGTCTTCAATGTTGTCTGTATCTTCAGTCTTGTCTGTGTCTTTAGTCCTGTCATGGTTTGTCTTCTCTTGTTTGTCTTCAGTCTTGTCTGTATTTTCAGTATTGTTTGTGTCTTCAGTATTGTCTGTGTCTTCAGTCTTGGTATGTCTTGTCTTCAGTCTTATCTTGCCTATCTTCAGTCTTGTATGTCTCTTCGGTATTGTCTTGTTTGTATTCAGTCTAATCTGTCTTCAGCCTAGTCTTGTCTTGTTAGAGTCTTCAGTCTTGTCTTGTCAGTGTCATCAGTCTTGCTTTGCCTTGTATATCTTCAGTAATGTCCGTGTCTCCAGTCTTGTCTCGTTTTGTTTGTCTTCAGTTTTGTTTGTCTTCAGTCGTGTCTGCCTTCAGCTTTGTCTTTGTATTGTCTGTGTTTTCAGTCTTATCTTGTCTTATTTGTATTCCTCAGATTTGACTTGTGTTGTCTGTCTTCAGTCTTGTGTTGCCTTTCTGTGTCTTCAGTGTTGTCTGTGTCTTTAGTCTTATCTGTATCTTCAGTCTTGTCTGTGTCTTCAGTCTTGTCATGTCTTGTATTCTCTTTATTTTCTTCGATCTTGTCTGTATCTTCAGTCTTGTATGTGTTCTCAATCTTGTTTGTGTCTTCAGTCTTGTTTGTGTCTTCAATGTTGTCTGTATCTTCATTCTTATCTGTGTCTTTAGTCCTGTCATGGCTTGTCTTCTCTTGTTTGTCTTCAGTCTTGTCTGTCTTGTCTTCTCTTGTTTGTCTTCAGTCTTGTCTTGTCTGTCTTCAGTCTTGTCTGTGTCTTGGGTCTTGTCTTGTATATCTTCAGTAATGTCCGTCCCGCGTAGCACACTTTCATCAGAACAAGTTACAGCAACTTGTTTATGACTGAAATAAGTCGTATATAAGTTTCTACAATTGATTTGTTACAAGCGTGCTACTAGGGGTGTCTTCAGTCTTGTATCGTCTATCTCCAGTCATATCTGTCTTCAGACTTGTATGTATCTTCAGTCTTGTATGTGTCTTCAGTCTTGTCTGTGCCTTCAGTCTTGTCATGTCTTGTCTTCTCTTGGTTGTCTTCAGTCTTGTCTGTCTTCAGTCTTGTCTTGTCTGTCTTCAGTCTTGTCTGTATTTTCAGTCTTGTCTGTATCTTCAGTCTTGTCTGTGTCTTCAGTCTTGGCATGTCTTGTATTCTCTTTATTGTCTTCGATCTTGTCTGTATCTTCAGTCTTGTCTGGGTTCTCAATCTTGTTTGTGTCTTCAGTCTTGTTTGTGTCTTCAATGTTTTCTGTATCTTCAGTCTTGTCGGTGTCTTTAGTCCTGTCATGGCTTGTCTTCTCTTGTTTGTCTGTATTTTCAGTCTTATCTGTGTCTTCAGTATTGTCTGTGCCTTCAGTCTTGGCATGTCTTGTCTTCAGTCTTATCTTGTCTATCTTCAATCGTGTATGTCTCTTCGGTATTGTCTTATTTGTATTCAGTCTTATCTGTCTTCAGTCTAGCTTTGTCTTGTTAGAGTCTTCAGTCTTGTCTTGTCAGTGTCATCAGTCTTGCTTTGCTTTGTATATCTTCAGTCATGTCCGTGTCTCCAGTCTTGTCTCGTTTTGTTTGTTTTCAGTTTTGTTTGTCTTCAGCTTTGTCTGTCTTCAGTCTTGTCTGTGTTTTCAGTCTTATCTTGTCTTGTTTGTATTCCTCAGATTTGACTTGTGTTGTCTGTCTTCAGTCTTGTGTTGCATTGCTGTGTCTTCAGTGTTGTCTGTGTCTTCAGTCTTATCTGTATCTTCAGTCTTGCCTGTGTCTTCAGTCTTGTCATGTCTTGTCTTCTCTTGATTGTCTTCGATCTTGTCTGTATCTTCAGTCTTGTCTGGGTTCTCAATCTTGTTTGTGTCTTCAGTCTTGTTTGTGTCTTCAATGTTGTCTGTATCTTTAGTCTTGTCTGTATATTTAGTCCTGTCATGGCTTGTCTTCTCTTGTTTGTCTTCAGTCTTGTCTGTATTTTCAGTCTTGTCTGTGTCTTCAGTATTGTCTGTGTCTTCAGTCTTGGCATGTCTTGTCTTCTTTTGCTTGTCTTCAGTCTTGTCTTGTCTATCTTCAGTCTTGTCTGTCTCTTCCGTATTGTCTTGTTTGTATTCAGTCTTATCTGTCTTCAGTCTAGTCTTGTCTAGAGTCTTCAGTCTTGTTTTGTCAGTGTCATCAGTCTTGATTTGCCTTGTATGTCTTCAGCCATGTCCGTGTCTCCAGTCTTGTCTCGTCTTGTCTTGTCTATCGTCAGTATTATCTGTCTTCATTCTTGTATGTGGCTTCAGTCTTGTCTGTGTCTTCGGTATTGTCTATGTCTTCAGTCTTGGTATGTATGGTCTTCTCTTGCTTGTCTTGCCTTGGCTCTCTTCAGTCTTGTCTGTGTCTTAGGTAATGTCTTGTCTTGTCTATCTTCAGTCATGTCCGTATCTTCAGTATCAGTCATGTTCAGTATCAGTATTATCTGTCTTCAATCTTGTATGTGGCTTCAGTCTTGTCTGTGTCTTCGGTATTGTCTATGTCTTCAGTCTTGGTATGTATGGTCTTCTCTTGCTTGTCTTGCCTTGGCTCTCTTCAGTCTTGTATGTGTCTTAGGTAATGTCTTGCCATGTCTGTCTTCAGTCTTATCTGTCTTCAATCTTGCCTGCCATCAGGATTGTCTACCTTCAGTCTTGCCATGTCTGTCTTCAGTCTTGTCTGTCTTCAATCTTGCCTTGTCTACTCCTAACGGACTGCTCAGTAATCAAGCAAACTTCTTCCTTCGGGAAACACACTGGTTACGTATGCAAAACTCCACTCGGTTAGTAAAACTGAATCAAACAAAAACCCAAACGCATACTTGCTCAACTTAACCTTCAGAGTTCCCCCGTGTAGTAGTAATCCACCTCTAGATACAACCACGAAAATAAGTTCTTAAACCGCATATTCAAAAATTCTCCCAATTGTACATACCTGGCTTCTTGGTCGTAGTGGTGGTAGTAGTTGGCTTCGGCGTGGTCGTCGTCGTCGTAGTTGCAGCCTCCGGCTTCTTAGCTACACTCGGCTCCACCGCCGGTTCAAAGCGAACGTTTTGCACGCGCATCTTCGGCGCCTTGGGCAATTGGACGCGAGCCAGATACTTGTTGTACGGTGATCCCAGATACAGGTAGTCTCCCAGCTCGGCAACGTGCGAAACCGCAGAGACCGACTTGTCGAATCCGTGCAGCGATCCGACGATGTTTCCGTTCCAATCCAGGCGGACGATGGTCACCCGATCGGGACTGGCGAATGACATGGTCTCGAAGTGTCCAATGGCGTGCAGCAGCCGTTGGGTGTGGACGGTGGGCAACACTTGGTGCAGCATACGGAACGGCATCTCGGCGATAGCGAGCATACGGGCAAGGAACTTACGAATCAATGGAACCCGAGACAAGAGGCGTGTCAGCGAGGGATTCACCTCGTCGGCAGCCATAACCAGCGGTGCCCAGAGGCCTTCCTCGTTGGCGATCAGGTTGTCACCCAGTCCAGGCAGACCGTCGACGAAGATATCGTCCGTTCCGGCCTTCGGTCCCTTTAGGTAGACACGTCGAATCAACGAGGCCATGGTTTCAACAACCACTACGAAGTCTTCGTTTGGACTCAGAGCCAAGCCGTTGGCGAAGTACAGACGATCCAGCAGGACAGTGTTCTTCTTGGTTTTCCTATCGTAATGGAACAGCCGACCGGAAGGATTCATAAAGAGAGTGAACACTCCATCCTGGAGATCGACATCGGACGTCGACTCGGTCCAGTAGATATCGCCATTCTTGGTCACGGCTACGCTGTTAAACAGGCGCGGCTTACGGTTGACGCCTTTTCCATCCAGGACGACATCACGCGAAACGAGCTGAATCTTGTCTCCGTTGATGAGATCGACCAACCAGATTCCATAGTAGGCATCAGCCACGATCAGATTATTACCCTGCGTATCGAAGGCCAATCCCAGAGGACGACCGCAAATTTCCTCCTCCACAGAGGTTTCTGCAAATAATTGTTCAGAGATTACTTCATTCAAAGGTATGTAGGTACCGATGGGAGGGGAAAACTCACCGCAAGGTTTGCCGAACTTGGCCACGTGTGTGATGTGTTGACCGGTGATGCGAAGCACTTCGCCCCCGTGGACGGTGGTGAAGATTTCCTTGCCCCGCACCAGGAGTGCCTCCGGGCCGTACACTTTGCCCTCGAACAGTCGCTCGGCATTGTCCAGGTGGTTGTTCGGCTCCAAGCCTCCCTTAAGCTCCTTCAGCGGAGGTATGCTGTGCGCGCGAGAAAGGTATGGCAAAGTTGATCGATTAGCTAGTCATGCCACTCTCTAATGATAATTACTGCTCGAGTGGGAGAGCGTGCGTACGTGATGATCATGCAAATGTGGACTGGGTTCAACAGGAGGATGAGATTTTTGCGGGATACGGTAATGCGTCGTTGTTGTCAATCCAAGGTTGACTCAAATCAAAACTGTAAGTCATTGAATAGAAATCCAAGTCGGTTTAAAACGAAGCAACAAATGCTTTGATCGCCTTGAGACATGAATCTCTGGATACTACGGAAGTAATCGATTTGATTACTACAGACATGCCTCTTATTTTCCAGCTCAAAGCTCATCGGAATTGCTTCTATGGAACATTTCAAACGCAATAAGAAAAGAACACTGATAAAGCATAAATTAGTGCCAACATTTCAAAGGGCGTAAATGCTTTTGAAAACAATAGCTTTGCAGTCGATTTCTCGCAACTAAAAGTTTACCCCTTCTAAATAACAATGCAAGATAGTAGAGCAAACATTGCTCTACCTATTGGTGTTATTATTTTTCATGAGTGAACTTTTAAGCGAGAAATCGACGACTAGAGTCATTGTTTACAAATGCAATTACGCCCCTTTGAAATGTTGGCACTGAAATGTATGCTTCAACGGGGGCCTCCCTTCTCCCAGGCGGTTAAGGCGCAGCTATAAAGGAAGACCATGCTGGAAGTGGCTGGGTTCATTCCCGGCCCGGTGTAGGAATTTTTCGGGATGAGACTGAAGTTACAACACAAGTTGAGAACCGACGTAAAGTTCCAGTTGGGACGTAATAGCCAAAGAATAAAAATAAAAAATATGCTTCCAAGGGGTGGATGAACTATGTGCATGCAGCGTACAAACGTGTTCAGTAGATGATTTGGATTAGGACATATTGCTCACCTCATTTGAAGCAAATAAGCATTTTTTTTTATAGGAGGCTGCAAGCTTCGAAAAAACAAAGTACCTTCTTACATTGATAAGCAAGACACGGTACAAAGTTTCTGATGCAACTGCTGCAGCTGGTGTACATGCTAATCTTACTGATAACAGTAGCTTGATAAATAATATGGTTCCTATACAGGGTCTTTTACATTTAGCATGATGACGTTTGACATAATCGCTATGAATCGCCATATTTTGGAAACTTACAGTAACTTACAATCAATGATGACTTGTGATTTGTGGTAATATTTCCTTCTTAAAATATTCTATATAGAAGGAAATAATTATTTTTTTTTATCGAATATTTAATAAAGAGAATATATTCCCTTCTTTGAATATTTCATAAAGAGAATGTCCGTTCTTCGAATATTTATTAAAGTAGAAAATTCTCTCATTTATGAATATTCATTTATAGTGCGTGGGAGTATAGTTGAAAGGAAAACAACGAGAAAATAAAGCATTCCGGTTTGAATTCTGTTATGCCAAGGGTTCTCATGCCAAATGTACCAGGCCCATTGTCATGTCGTGCAAAATAATATTGCACGATAGAACATTATGTTCTATCGTACAACATTGTTCACACCATTTAGAGTTTTCCACTTCAACCACCTCAAGGTCTGTGATCTGTGGCCGTCGCTTCTGTGTCTGGTTGGCTAGGTGCGTTATACACAGACATTGGGCTTTTATCATAATTAATTAATAAACAACACCAACAACCATAATAAGCAACTCCAAGTGACATCATACTAACAAAATTCAAATCAAAATCCTGCAACAGTTTTCTTCCAGTGTATTCGAGTTTGTCTAGTCGATGATGAAGACGACCGTCGAAAAGAGAAAGAACCAATAAAGCGCGAGCAACAACAACAACAACAACAACAACAACAACAACACCGTGGCAAGGACAAGGACAAGGTGACAGAAAATAGTGAATGAATGAGCGAGAGCCGAGACCGAAAACGCAACCACTTAGCGACGGTGGCCGCCGTCGTCGTCGGGGCGGTGAAAGTCACCATCGAACGTTACATGTTTTATGCGACTGGGTAGCGATCAAATCAATGCACTTACCTGAACCCTTCGAAGGGGAACGTGGTTTTCGGTGGAAGCCCCGGCAGTAGAACTACCAGGAAAAAGAACACCAGGAAATTGATCACCCGGATGCGAATCTTGTACATGAGACCCATCCTGCTTATTCTTTTTGCCCTGACAGGGGCCCTCTTCTGATGAGGAGAGTGTTACGTCTATACCGGCACTGGGAACTGGCGTTTGTCGCCTAAAAAATGGAATAAATTTGGCACCGATTGCTCAAATCGCTGCGATACGAATCGATACGCAATAATTCACTAATTTCTGACCAGCAATCACTGGAACAAGAGATGTGGGATGTGGTCACCCCTGACGGTTCCGAAAAAACCGCACCACAAAAAGAATCTGATCTTTCTATTGATGACACGGCACAACCCGCGACTAAAAGAAAAAGACAACCGCGGACGGAATCACTAATCGTTTTGCTTTCACACTGGCTAAAACTGTCAAAGTTCGGGTCGACTTCGTCAGTGTTTCGGTTTGAGTAAAATGTTCAGTCCAGGTAACACCGATGTTTCTGATTAGAGGAATGGAGGTGAAATGGTCCAATCTGCGGGGTCTGGTAAAAAAAAACAGGGGGACAATATTTCCACTTCCCACATCCATTTTATCCACAAACTGACATTCTCATACGCTTCAAACGAAATAAAAAAACAGATTTTTTTCTGTTCCGTACCTCCATTTTCTATGTCTATGCATCTATGCATCCCTGTCTGTTTTTTGCAATATATCCTGAATGTTATTCTTCTCCATAATAAATAAATACCATAAACGAACGGTAACCCGGATGGTAGAACCAACAATCAATACGAAACTAACGATTTTAAATTGGCTCACTACTTGACTAGCCTATTGGTGCCAAGCAAACGATTAACGTACCTCATTCTAGTCGAAATTCTAGTACTACGCAATGATTGTTTTGATTCGCTATGAAAGTTTGACAGATAAAATGAGGGGTTATTGGTTTTTCCTATGTTTCGAGGGGTGAATCGATTAGCTTGGGACCGAAGAGAGTACCAGCATAGAGGTAACTCTAAGACCACTGGGTCCCGAAGAAAATCATTATTATTTTTGGCTCACTCAGTACCAGAACAACGGTCCCAAGCAGTCCCAAGCTATTTCACTCACCCCTGCATGTTCTGCATGAATCCACACACCCCTGATGTTATCTGTCAAACTTTCATAGCGAATCAAAACAAACATAATGTAGTAATAGAATTTCAACTAGAATAGGGTATGTTAATCGTTTGCTTGGGACCAATAGGCTACTAAAGTGGTGAGCCAATTTAAAATCGTTAGTTTCGTATTGATTGTTGGTAGAACTATCTCAAATGATTTGGATGATACCCCGAACACGTCGTTAAGCTCTTTCTTATGGTTATTTTTATTAGGGTTGTCTATCGGCTTTCCATGCTCGGTAATGGCGGCATGTTTGTATGAATTAATGTATCCTTCACTGCAGGGTTGCTTCCACTCACTTGCTATAAAAAATATATTTCGAAATTATGCAATCATTAGATGATATAATGATATGTGATGAACTACATCAGTGCACCCCTCGTTAGTATATGTATCTTGGTAGCGCATATCATTATAATAACCTTGGCGCTCATCACCAATAGTTAGCCTGTTGTTTTTTGCTTTCCATTCTTGAATAAAACGTGTAACTTTGCAACCGCGTGTTTTTCTCTTTCGAAAGTATTTCGTGTTCGTTCCGGGTTATTCTTTTCAGCCGACGAAGATCCACTGTTGAACCTGTCCACCTTGGCCTACAGGCTATGGGCCCAGTGGAGGTTGTGAGGATAAACTGTTATTTATCTCGTAAAAAGAGGAAACATTTTTTCGTCGGAACAGACGAAAACCGCCAGTCGGTGCAAAAATTTTTGGTTGCTGTTGTCGGTGTGCGTGACTGTTAGTACAACAGCCAGGAAAATGGACACAATCAGCAAGTTTTCGAAGCTGAGCAATCAAAACTGGCAGTCCTGGAAATTCAGGATGGAGATGCTCCTGACCAGGGAGGAGCTGTTCTACGTCATCGATGGTGTCAAGCCGGAGCCTGTAACGGCCCAATGGACCAAGGATAATAAAAAGGCGCGCGCAACTATGGGGTTGTGCATTGAGGACAACCAATACAGCCTCATAAAGACAGCAGAGTCAGCCCGCGATTTCTGGGATAATTTACAGAAGTATTACGAAAAAGTCACCGTGACTTCTATGGTGTCCCTTCTCAAAAAGTTGTGCAACTTAAACTTACGAGAAACGAGAAGGAGGTGATTTGGAACCGCACCTATTCGAGTTGGATGATCTCTTCGAGCGATTGGAGAACGCCGGGCAGGATTTGGAAAATCAGCTGAAAATCGCTATGATTTTGAGGAGTTTGCCAGATTCCTACAGCAGTTTGGTGACAGCGCTTGAAGGCAGGCCAGATGAAGATATGACCGTCGAGCTGGTTCGGTCCAAACTCTCCTTTCTGCGCTCGGACGAGTACGAGCGCAGAAAGGAGCGGTATGGAGGATCATCCGGTGACGCAAAGGCGTTGAAGAGCAGCGTGAAGTTGCACAGTGCAGTGAAAGACAAATCCGAGATTGTGTGCTTTTTTTGCAAGAAGTCGGGCCACATGAAGCAAGATTGTTTGCGATTTCAGGCCCTGAAGAACAAAAGTGATAAAGACAAGCGAGATGAAAACAAGAAGACATATCGCCAGGGTGATCACCCGAAGGCCAAGCAGGCCACTGAGAAGAGTTCCAGTGCTGTTTTGTTTATGGCCGGAGAGAAGAGGCAAAGTTGCTGGGTTGTGGACAGCGGTGCTAGCAGCCACATGTGCAACGACAGAAGTGTATTTACCTCGCTCAGCGAAGAGAGCGCTCCGGAAGTGATTCTCGCGGACGGAACTGTAGTGCAATCGGTAGGATGTGGTACTGGTGTGGTGACCGGCGTAGATGGCTGCGGAAATACAGTGGATATAAAACTCTCGGAAGTGTTGTTTGTACCGTAGTTGAACAGCTGTTTGCTTTCGGTGGTAAAGCTGGCTGCTAAGGACTTTGTGGTGATGGTGGTGATCTTTAGAAAAGACGATTGTGACATTTGTAATCTGTCGGGTACAGTGAAGGTGAAAGGCATCCGATCTGGTAGCTTGTATCACCTGAAAACGGTGGAAACAGTGATGAAGAGTGAAACCAAGCAGCACAATGAACTGTGTCAGCACCAGTGGCACCGCCGATTCGGACATCGTGATCCGTCGAGTGTTGATAGAATGAATAGAGAGAATCTGGTGGCAGGGATGACGCTGAAGGATTGCGGAATCAGGTTGACCTGCGAAACGTGTTTGGAAGGGAAGCTATCGCGGACGCCGATCCCCAGAGCAGCCGAACGAGCGTCTACGCAAATTCTGAATGTGGTGCACACAGATTTGTGTGGGTCAATGAGAACTGCAACACCCAGCGGCAACCGCTTCCTGATGACAGTCATAGATGACTTTAGCAGGTATGCAGTCGTGTATCCCCTCGCCCGGAAGTCGGATGCTGCCGACAAGATCATCGAGTATTTCAGGTACGTGCAAAATTTGTTTGGTAGAAAGCCGCGAGTTATCCGCTCTGACGGAGGGGGCGAGTATGATAATAAGAAGCTTCAAACATTCTTTGCGAAGGAGGGGATCAGAGCCCAGTTCACCACCCCCTATACGCCACAACAGAATGGCGTGGCCGAAAGGCGCAATAGGTACCTACAGGAGATGGCTACAACAATGTTGCTCGATGCGAAACTTGACAAAAAATACTGGGGTGAAGCTGTACTGGCTGCCACCTACCTGCAGAACAGGTTGCCCTCCCCAGACAACCAGAATGCACGTATATTCAAAGTTGTTTTCGTGATATACAAACATATATACAAACAAACAATTCGTATAGAATGCAAAGAAATGGCTTATACGTACAAAAGTGGAGGCCATATACGTGCATATTTTAATTTAATTTTAGACGAGTTGATTTATCATCATTTACGATTTAATCTGTAATAACAAATTCATTTTGAAAAGTCTAACGATGTAATCCGATTTAATTTGTGATACAGTACGACGGAAAAATCAGTCATCGCATATAAGTCGGAAATTTGCATTCTATACGATTTAACTTAAACATAGTGCGAGGTATGCCACTCTTATATGCGATTTTGACTTAAACTGTAGCAATTTACGATACGGTCTGTACATTGTTATACGATTTCTGGTTGTCTGGGTCACGCTCAGTGGACACAACACCTTTTGAGAAGTGGTATGGGAGGAAACCTGACGTTAAGCACTTGAGGGTTTACGGGTCACAGGCGTGGGTTCACATCCCGGATGTGAAGCGTGGGAAATTTGATAGTAAAGCGCAGAAACTCACATTCATAGGCTACTCTGAACAGCATAAAAGATATCGGTTCGTTGATTTAGTGACGGAAAAGTCACTAAAGGTGAGTTGGAAACTGATTCAATTACTGATGGGGTAGAGTGGCTTGCTGGTAAGGATGGTGGACGTGATCGGCAATCGGTGGCCGAGCTGGTGCCAGATCTGATGGACGATAGCGATGCCGAAAGCGAGGATGAAGCAACCCACGACCCCATGGATCAAAGCGAATGCGAGCAGTTCTTCGATTTGAGCTCCACTCCTTCTCTTGATGACCCCCTAGATATGAAACAAGAGCCCGAAGGAGACCATCAGGGCGAATCGAGTAGCCAAGGTGTCCTTAAAACCCGTAACAAGCAGGGGGTAAGTCACTCTGCCACCTTGTGCTTGTGTTGATTGTGTTTCTTGTGTGTTTTTGGATATCAGAACTGTTTCTGGGTATTTCTGCATTTCGACCTACCTGTCAAAACGTTGAGCGAAAATTAATGGTTAATGGCAACCATAACATCCACATTTGCTTATAAACTAAAATTGATGATAGTTTCTTTTTATTGTTCATCTCAATTTCAAACGTAGCTAACATTATTAACAAATCATTAACGTAAATTAACAAAAATCAATGCGAAACATTTGCAGGATTACATCTATGATCTGTGGTCGTTGGAGAATTATACCTTAAACGCTGTCCAGACTGGAGAGTTATAACATGTTATAACGGTTGTCAAATAATTGCAACACAGAAACCACCATCAAGATAGCATGTATAACTCTGTAGTCTGAACGTACTATTATTGTATGAAAACGGCAAAATCAAGGAATCACAGAGTGGTACAAGATTCGTGAGGTGATCGATAGAGCGATGAAAACCTGGCGGAAAGGACACGTTGGATGTGACATGTGGAATGCAGTATGGTGGCGGTGGAGGCGGTTCCAGTTCAGGATAGCAAATCAGCCAATCTGGGCATCAACTTGTCGGCCCACTGCAACACCGACCCCGAAGAGATCATCAGCACGTTCAGCGGGAAACAGCAGTCAAGCAATGAAATTCTGTAAGATCTGTTCAGAACCTGTCCGCCGACGCCTCCGCCAAGGACGATTTCGACTACTTTAATTCATGGGCACGCCGAATCCACGATTCCGACGCTTCCGGTTGCATCAACGGTGGTCCAGAGTTTGGAGATTTCGAATCTAATAGAGGAAATCCGACAACGAATCCCGCTGGTGATGACTTAGCCAAATTTGTGACGTTCAGTTTGGCACCGGTACCAGCAGCTGCCGCTACTCCAGTCAGAGTAAATCAATGTGTCACATCAGCTACCACTGGGATGAGTTTGATGGGATTCAGCCTTGGTATGTGGACTGTGTCTTCTACCTTTGATTTTGTATTTGTATGCATTAAAAGTACATCGTTAATGTCACACCAAATTCTGTTTTCATCTTCCAGCAAAATGGTTTGCTGAAAATGATCCAGCAAAACGATTTTAGCTGAAACAACAGCTAACAACTTTTTAATTGACCACTTTGTCAAGCAGTTTTGGCGTGACTTTCTACCAGCGTTTTCTCAAAACTGGACAAACTAATTTCTATTTTTTTATGAAACGCACAAATGTTGGCTACTTTCCTCGAGGTTCTAGAAGAAAAAATCTTAAAATAATGTTTCATTTCAAAGTTCGAGTGGTAGTAAACGTCATTTTATCTGCTCGAATGAAGTGGTTAATTACTGAAAATCCAGTAATCCGTTGTTTTTGCCGAAAACCAGCAAATCGTGAACTGTTAAAAAGACTTGTGATTCCAGTTAATTAGTGAGACGACCGCTTACAAATAAAATTATGCAAAAAAGCATTGCGTTGTAAAATTTTAACTGGATTAAAATTGTTGGGCTACTATTTTGCATAATAATAACGGTAAGACAGGGGAATATTTTGAAGGAAATATTATCTTGTAACAGATTGCCTTTTATTTTAGATAAATTCGGTAGAAACATGGAGAAGATGATTACGTACGAATGGAGAAGAACTTGAAGATAATCAATAGTTTTGTGTAGAGTTATTTCAATAACGACTGAATAAAAGAGGGTTCAAGTGATTTCTCTAACTACTTGATGCATTGATTTCCTGTTTTTCTTATTAAAACGAGAAAAGCTTCTCGTAATTGCGTAATTGCTGAAATTCCAGCAAAATCAACCCCATATTTTTCAACAAAGAAATTGCTGATTTTCCAGCAACCTTCTGTCAAAAAATATTTGCTGGAATGCCAGCAAAATTTACTTTGCTGGAAGGATTACTGGTTATACAGCTCGGCAAAATCCAGCAAAATTTTGCTGGTTTCCAGCAATAAAAAATGAGTGTACTTGTACTCCCGAATTCTGTTTCCTCGAACGTCTCTTCGAAATCTTTTTTCTTAAATGACTACTTGCCTGGACCGGGAGGTAAACTCGGATTTACAGGGACTCTAAAAGGTATCAAAGGTATAGTTGCTTGAACTGTAGAAGAACTCTTCTGAAAGTCAATCATAATCAATTTATGCCAGCTTGATTACAATCCTATCGGTTTTCAAGTGTTTGTTTTTAATGTGTGCGAAACTGAGTCTAATCCCTCTGTCCTGGCTAAAAATCTCCTAAATAAAGTTGAAAAGAAAAACTGTCCCGGTTTGATTTGTAATTTAAATCTAAATTATAAAAACACCCACACTCACAGTGACACAGTAACAACACCATAGTGGAAAAAGTGTGCATTTGTACTTGTCCCATTTCAGTATCCTACTTACCATGGCGAAAAATCGAAGCATCCTGTTGAAGTGCACTTGAGATCTGTTGGAACTGCTCCAGAGTGTTCCGAAGAGCAGGCAGATTCGATTTGAAGCAAGTTGGATGTGCTGCTGGAATGCCTACCGGGTCAGAGGACTGCAGAGCAGCTAGGCTAGATGCAGGACTTGCTGGAATAGTTGATCGAACGATTCGATGGGAAATTTCCGGGAAGTATGCCGAAAGTGAATGACAGAATTTGTAGCTTTTTCGCACTTGATTCCAATCACTGGATACTGTCCCGGACATGCTCGGTCAGAAAAGAGAATCTATCCCAAACGAACATCAGTCGCAATCAACCCCAGGTAACCTAGCCGAGCCAAGTGCGCCCCTTTCGAAGTTATCTCTGGATCTAAATTTCGCCAATAAAACGAACTCCTTTGTAAGCGACAGCTAGCTGAGCGGTTGGTCTGCGAACGCACAACTGGTAAAACCCGTCGAATTAGCTCGCCCTGTCCAGTCCAGTCCACAATCACCAAACCACCAACGTCGGTCGGATCTTTAATAAACAAAAAAACGAATGTAAATATCAGACGTAAAAAATCCTGGCCAAAGGGGTGCCAAAGATAATAGACAATTTGTCTTTTCATGTAGCATCTCGTGTGGCATAAGGGTGTTTGAGTGTGTCAATGTGTGTTTTTGCTGTGCTAAAGTGGGTGTTGACACAAAGTGGTAGAGTGACTTACCCCCTGCATATGACGTTTAAAATATACTCGTTGATGTTGTTTACAAAAATTAAAAGCATGTTTAAAATAAACGTATTTATTTTAGTTTACAAAACTGTCAAATAAAATAATGTATTCACGTTTATGCGAGCGTTTATGATCAATATGAATATCTTCAAAATAAACGTCACATTATCTTTATTCTAACATGGAATACGTTTGAAATCAATCTAGTTTATTTTTGTGAATTGTGAACTGCGAAAATAGGAAATTGAAAAATGTGCCACAACCATTTTTTCACTACAAACGCTAGCGAAATTTCATGATTTTTCACTTGTTTCAAATTTCACATCGCTTTGAGGCCCTTTTCCCGTGATGCTCTGGACGGGATTGTTTCTATGTAACCGAAGCTGAACTAAAACACTTTTTGGTCAGGTTTTCGCGTTCTGCGTCTCCGCCGTCTCCGCGAGTTTGTTTTGTTGATAACTGACAACCGCCGTCATCAGACTGCTTCTTCACCCTTTCTTTTCGCAGTTGTCCTTTTTTGTTGTCGGTCGTGAGTGGTGATCCATAGGTTCCGTAACACAATTTTGACTTGATTTATATCGTTTTCTTTACCAAATCTCGAACTTCACAAACTATTTATCTGCCTTCGAGTGAGTTTTCAATGCAAAATTTTTCTTATAGAGGTTGTATGTCATCACCACATTTAATTTAATTTTTTTTATTAAGTCGTGTTTCGTAATCTACGGAATTTTGTGGTCGCTCTTGGTCTTTTCCTGGTGTCTGACTTGTCTGTGGTGGTGGACGATGCGCTTCTAGATGTCTACTGCTTCTTTCTCGTCCTTCTTGCTGAGTGCGTGAATCGTGAAGAAGAAGCTGCTGTGGATGTGCGTCGCTCGCTCCCTGGGAAAATTTTCTATAAATCTGCTGCGGATTGTGTTGGAAAATTGGGAAAATTATACCATTGTTCATGAGTGCTGGGAAGTGAAATTATTGCAAGCACATTCGTTCGTCGTGAAAGACAATTTAAGAGCACGGCAATAAGTCTCGGTGGACGCGATGGACGACGGCAAACGAAAGTGATTGCCTTGAGGGGAAAGGATTTTGCTTCCATTTGGTGAGTAAACAAAATTTGCGTTCGATTTTTTTTTCGTTTGCGAAAATTGGAAAATTCTTGAACAAAGTGTGATTATACGGTGGAAATGAATGGTGAGAGTTTCGGATTGCTCCGCTTCCGCCTATGGGAATTGTTTTTTTTTTCTCATCCTGTTTGCCTGTCGTCGATCGACGACGACGCACAAACAGGGAGTCACTTTTCCTGCTTTTCCTTTTCTTCCTCGTCATCTTAAGAATTTGCTCGCTCGCTGTGAGAAAACCGGTTTTGTTCAGTCTGCATTACATATTTTTATCGCGATCACCAATCTCTCCGGACCCGAACCGTTCAATAGTTGCTAGAATCGATTTTCTCTGTCGAAATTGTCATTTCAGAGACGCCCACTGGCTGGGTCCAGAAGCATGAGTGCCGTTCCGGACTGGGACTCGCTGGATTCCGAGCTGGCAGGTTGCAGCCGGAGTTTCGGAAGACAGCAACAAGCTCGAAATCAGTTCAGTCAGTTTGGCCGTTCGAACGATGCGGTTCGATGCGAGAATGTTCTGCTGAAGGTGCTCAATCGGGAGCACTGTGGGTACTTTAGTACGGGATTGAACAAGCGATCGCACCGGGAGGCCTTCCGAGAGGTTCCGGAACATTTGAGCTTCTGCCTGAAGGAGATCGTGCCGTACTGCTATCTGCAGGGGTGAGTGTGGAGTGGAAAATTTTTCGGGAAGTTGTGATAATGATGTTTTTCGGTTTTAGGCATGTCTTCATGGGTTTGTCTGCGTGCGGTCAGTTCCTGCTGAGCTATAAAGCATCCTACGATTATGACGAACTCATCACGAATGAGTACAACTTTTCCTCCAACTACAAATATGAGTAAGTACCTATTGGAGCGTAATGCTTGCGCAAGGATTAATGTCGAATTTCCGTTCCGTAGATTGTACTTCTGGATTTACCGGCCGCACTTCTTATTGAGCAAGTACTTCCACGTGTGTCTCTTTGACGATCACGGGGTGGATGACATCAAAACGGTGTCGATCACGCAGTGGAAGACGGACCAGCAGCTGTTGATCATCCACGGGGCCAGTGAGAAGGAGGACTTGGATTCGTACATTACCGTGGTTCGGGTGCCAAAGCTGGGCTGCATGGACTGCAAACAGATGAGGGATGCAGACGAGGAGGACGGAAACGGTGGCCAAGGGACGCTTTGCATCAAGTGCAATATGACGATTCACACCAAGTACCGCAATTCGGATTCGGGACCCAAGTTCAATCCGCAATACAACCTGAACTGTCCTGGCTACATCATCATGAGTGAGAACAGCTTCATTCACACCGTGAACATTCAGCTGGACATGTCCCGGTGTCCCCAGAAGGTGTCATCCGGTGTGATTAGTAGCAAGTACATTTCCAAGTATCCACGAATGAGTCCGGAAGCGACCCCAGCTGAGGTGAAAACTCCCACTGAGCCGATCATCCCGAAGCCAGAACCTCCGAAACCATCGACCAGTGGTTCGTTTCCAGCACCCAGCGCACCCGCTCCGTCGAAATCCCTGAGCATAGCCGACCAAATTATAGCCGACTTTGCTGAGTATGAGACTGAAACCTTCGAATCCAAGTGTTCCCAACCATTTGCATCCCAACTGCCGCATCATCGTACTACCAGTAGGTTGTCTTCCAGTTCGTCCTCTTCCTCAAGGTCCCACTCGATGACGGTGACCCAATGTCCGGAGAACTTTGACGAGCTGGTCATTACCTGTGATCATCGCAGCAGCACGGCTGCCATTTCCGCCTCCCGAAGTTCCATAATGACCCGCGGAGCTGCAGCCCGCCTCTCGGAAGCCCTCTCACCGACTTCCAATATTCGACTAATAAATCATCGAAACAATACCAACATAGAGCTAAGACTTACTCCCGTCATCAACGGCAGTGCCGTAACTCGCGTGGAGCTTCCGGTTAGTTCATCCGGTGGTCCTTCCTCATCTGGTGCTTCCCCGCGTCCGATCGCTGCCAACTCAAGCACGACTCAATTTCCGCTGGTAGAACCAAGCGGACCCACTTCAAGTTCCTCTACGTCCTCCGGACGGACACCGCTACGGAGACGTTCGTATCTCTCTACCCGGTCGAATGATCCCAACGTTCCTAATCAAGCCGAAGGCGGCAGCAACGGTGGTAACTCCCCCAACGACGTCGCTGCCAAGGCGTACGAATTCTCCGAAGACAACGAACGCTGCGAAAAGATCAGTATCTTCCGCAAGCGCCGCCTAGCCGACAAAAAGTACGAATTCTCCGAAGACAGCAGCCACGGCGAAAACGTCATCGTCCCATTCAACCGGCTCCGTAGTCAAATCCGGACACGATCCACTAGTCAAAATCTAATCTGTAGCCCCTCACACCCGGGCTACGAAATGACCACCCATCTGCATCGAGCCTCGCCGAACCATGGCTTCCGATCGCCCTGCGGTTCTCCGGTCGGCAATCGCTATCTTCGATCTCCCCCAGGCATCCGATCGCCGAACTACTATCGTCATCATTCCCCGGTTGGCACACCTCGCTCATCCCAGCCGCAAGGCCCCCCGCCATCCGCTGCTCACCTAATCAAAATGGCCAATTTCGATCCGAAAGACTACATCTACCAGGGCGGCGGCACGAATATGACTGCCAGCGAAGAAATCCCGAAATTCTTCATCGATGCCATTCAGAAGTTCAACGAAAAGAAACTGCAAGCCGACGAAGGGAACAACGAGAACATCAACTCGGACAACCTCCTTCCGCTGAAGGCGGATCTGAACGGGTTCGGTACCAATAACACGGTCCACGAGGCCAAGTCGGGGAAGAAACCGGCCTGCACGAAGAAGATTATCAAGATTTTCGTCGAAGAGGACGATGCCAACTCGGTGCTGACCACGGAAGAAGGTACCTGCGATATCTATTAGTACTTCCAAAATAACCTAATTGTCCATGCCAACCCACAGACGACTGTATCTCGCCCGGCTACCACGCCTCGCTGCCCATGGAAGTGCACGGTTCCTGCTATGCCAACATGCAAATCATTTCCCCGTCGTCCTATCAGAAGCTCAACTGTCCGGCCGTGGTGGTGACGCAGAACTCGTTCGACATGGAAGCCTTCTCGTTCCACGTGGCCAACTACATCTGCGCCAAGCACGACAAGAAGTACGGCATCCTGTTCGATTCGGCGTACGAGTTGACTCATGTATGTAAATGGGAGGTTGGGACAAATTGAAGAAATTATTCGGAATTTTTTTAGATGGCAGAAGTGGACCACATTAATCGTTTCCCGCCCAGAGTGTTTTCGCTTGATCAATTTTGAAAACCAATATCTCTGGAGTGTCGTGAGATATTGGTCTGGATTTTCTTCCGATAATAGAAGAGCTAGTACAGACTATGTTATGTTTATGTTTCAGAAACTTATAGCTCACAATGCCAAAAAAAGGTATGGTGCTCCAGAGTATTATGGGCGGAAACGAGTTAAAAGACCAGACCTCTTAACTCTTCCGGAGACAATCCTGGAAGTGCGATGTAGAATAGATTTTGAAACGACAGCAGAGAGTTCAGAGATTGAGCAAGGCAGGACTTGCGGGTTTGTGGCGAGGCACTGGTGTCAACTCCAAAGTTCCATCACTACCGAATAACCTCGCAGAGGACCGTTTGGTGTTCGCATGCAGAATGAACAAGGCTTGTGTGGAATTTGAGCTTTACGGGGGAAAGCAGTTCCAGCCCAGCCCTGTGTGTGACCTAAAATCCGAGAACAGCGTCGAGATTTCCTAGTGAAGATTTCAGGTAGAAACGACGTATAGCGTTCAAGCAGTAAATATTCAGTAGGCATCGATCGAATCACCTTTCTCGTTTGACCAAGTACAAACCTTTTGGAAATTTGACGAAGAACAGAAACATCCATCTAGTGACATCGGCAGGAACCCATATTGGTCTGTGTGTTCTAAAGTGCGTTTCACTACGTTCGAATTCAGCAAAAAGACACGAATGTTTCGACTGTGGCCAGTAAGTTCGGACGTCACATGGAGCTCTGCAAATACGAAATATCGAATCCCTGGAGGCTCTGCTGCCCGAAGAAGGCGCCTCCACTCTACTGGATCCATGGCCACACGTTGCCAGCCTCGTGGTCTGCGAAGGGTCCGGAGGTCGCACTCTAATTGGTCGAACAACCTTGCCCGCTGCGCGCCCTTCATCTTGTTCCTGTTGGTTCGCTATCGAGAATCATTTTCACTGGGTCGTCGTCTGGCATTCTTACGACGTGCCCAGCCCACCGTAGTCGCCCAATTTTGGCAATGTGGACTATGGACGGTTCTCCCAGCAGCTGGTGCAATTCGTGATTCATTCGCCTCCTCCACTTCCCGTCATCCATCTGCACTCCACCGTAGATGGTACGCAACACCTTCCGTTCGAATACACCAAGGACGGCGTTGGTCCTATCCGAGCATAGTCCAGGTCTCGTGGCCGTAGAGAACCACCGGTCTAATCAGCGTCTTGCAGATAGTCAACTTCGTGCGGCGGTGAATCTTATTCGATCGGAGCGTCCTCCGGAGTCCCAAGTAGGCATGATTCCCTGGCATAATGCGTCTGTGAATTTCTCTGCTGGTATCATTTTCGGCGGTCACCAGTGAGCCCAAATACACGAACTCGTCGACCACCTCGATTTTGTCAATCTAAACTCGGAGTGGGAGACTAACATTGTCTTCCCTAGAACCTCTTCCTCTCATGTATTTCGTCTTCGATGCGTTGATGGCAAGTCCAATCCGCCTAGCTTCAACCTTCAGTCTGATACGCTTCCGCTATCGTCTTAAAGTTCCGTGTCATGATGTCAATGTACTCCCTGAAGATCGTGCCACTCGTGTCTATCCCAGCTCTTCTTATCACACGAAAGTACATCACGTTGCCGTAGCCCCCTTCGAGATTCAAAGCGAGTCAAGAGTGTTCACGATACGCGAACAACCCACATAGTTTATCCGGAAATCCGCACTCGTACATAATCTGCCATAGCTGATCTCAATCGATTGTGTCGTATGCGGATTTGAAATCGACGAACAAATGATGTGTGGGCACGTTGTATTCGCGGCATTTCCGTGGTAGCGCGATCCCATGAATCCTACCTGGTATTGCACCACGAACTCTCTTGCAAATGGTGACAGGCGGCATACAATTTGGGAGAGTACCTTGTAGGCGGCACTCAGGAGTGTGATCGCGCGGTAGTTGCAGCAATTCAACTTGTCGCCCTTTTTGTAGATTGGACATACGACACCTTCCATCCACTCCTCCGGTAATCCTACTCCCAAATCTTAGCAATTACCCAGTGTAGCGCTCTAGAAAGTGCTTCACCACCGTATTTTAATAGCTCACCACCGTATTGTAATAGCTCACTTGCTAGTGGACTTGGCCAACCGATCAGTGGCCGGTAGCCTGTCGTCTTCCTGCGCGTGCTCCAAGGTCTGCTACCATGCCACCTTCGTTTTCTGCTGCATCACCGTTGAGGTGCTCGTCATAGTAGTGCTTCCACCTCTCAATCACCTCACACTCGTTCGTAAGAAGGCGGTTACCGTCCAAGTCCTTCCACATATCGGCTTGCGAGAATTATTTAGCTTCTCGTAGAACTTCCGTATGTCGTTTACGTGGTACAGATTTTCCATCGCCTCGCGATCTCGGTCTTCCTGCTAACGCTTGCTTCGAAAAACCGAGTTTTGTCTGTATCGCTCCACATTCAATCTCGTGCGGCGTTGCAGCATTCTCGCCCGTGCTGTATTCTTCTCCTCTACTAACAGTTTGCATTCGCCGTCAAACCAGTCATTTCTTCGGTCCGGGATCGTAGTACCTAGTGCCGCTGTAACAGTACTACCCTATGGCGGAACGGATGTCCCTCCAGCCACCTTCAAGAGTAGCTGCGTCTAACTGCTCTTCCGTGGGTAGAGCAGCTTCCTGCTGCTGCGTGTAATCCTGGTCAACTCCGATGTCTCGTAATTGCTCAATGTTGGGTCGCGGCGTTCGACTTCGACGGGTGTTATCCACCGTTAAGAGTTTTGAGCGCATTCATACTGCAATGTTCGCACTGCGCTACTTGCGGACGTTAATAATGTCGGAGAAGAATTTCCTGTCGACTAGAACGTGATCGATTTGGTTTTCTGTGTGTTGGTCAGATGTGGATATCCTTACGGGTGAAAAAGGTACTTCGGACTACCATTCCACGGGAGGCTGCAAAGTTCACGCATCGTTTGCCGTTGTCGTTCGATACGGCATGCAGGCTGTTTGGCCCGATTGCCGGTCTGTACTTTGACTCCCGTCCTACCTGAGCGTTCATGTCGCTGATGACGATTTTGACGTCCCGTTGCGAACAGCCGTCGTACACCTGCTCCAGCTGCTGCGCATAAAACGCTTCTTTCTCGTCGTCGGGTCTACCTTCGTGTGGGCAATGCACGTTGATGATGCTGTATCATCCCAACTATATGCGGTATGGTTGCACCAGAGTCTGTACGGCGAATGAGAACGACCCAAATTTGAGTTTAGTTCACTCACAATCGTCAAAATTGCAGGAACTCAGCGATGGGTAAATTTGCCTCATGGTTTCTTGTGGAAAACCTCAAAAATCAGCCAGAAAATGACAAAATTGACGAAAATTTTATTCAGTCTAGGAGTTGTAGTGAATCCAATCTTTACTTTTCTCATATTCGGGAATTTTTTACTGGAAAAAAAACTGGGAAAATATGAGGCAAATTTGCCCATCGCTGAGTTTCAGCACTTTATATGATTTATGGTTAACTAAACTCAAATTTGGGTCGTTCTCATTCGCCGTGTGTGTATAAGAGTGACGTCGAGATAAAAACAGTGGAACTATTATCAACAATCAATACGAAACTAACGATTTTAAATTGGCTCACTACTTGACTACCCTAATAAAAATTGTATGGTTAATTTGCTTAACGACGTGTTCTGGGTATCATCCAAACAATTTGTGGAATAGTTCAATGATTTGGGTTATCGTTCGTTTATGGTTATTTTTATTAGGGTAGCCTATTGTGTTTATTCCGCTTCTCGCGTGACGCGTACCGAGTCGAGTCGTTTATGTCACCCAATTCCCGTACTCGAATAGAGTGACAATTGTCGATACGAATGAACTCCCATCCCCCTTATTCTGCGAGTCACGTGACTCTCTGTCACCGGTGAGGTGACAATTGTCACCTCGTGTGAGGTGACTCTCCATGTAAATCAAATGGAGAGTCACCTCACACGAGGTGACTATTGTCACCTCACCGGTGAGAGAGAGTCACGTGACTCGCAGAATAGGGGGGATGAACTTTCGGTGTATTCCCATAGTCGATGTATATCGACAAAACTCGGATCGGAATAACGTTTTCATGCGAGTGTTGTCGATACGTCAGAAGCAATCGAGAACGTTTGAAAAGCGTGAAAATGGAAGTGAAACGGTGCCTTAGAAAATATTTTGGTAATAAAATTATATTATTGTAGAGTCCGTGTGACGAACTAAAAGCAGTTTGCTTTCCGAGGAAATTGAGGAAATATTCGAAGCAAGCTGTTTGGAATCTTGTTGAGAGAAAGTGGATTTTCCATTATTTACCGGAACTTTAGATGAAGGTGCAGCTGTTTTTACTAACGTTTTGAAAACTTTTTGACCAATAAATTAGTTGAACAAAAGAAAACTCGATGTAAATATATTCAGAGGAAAATTGATCAGCATCAAAACAACAGCTAAGAGTTATGGAAAATTTTGAAATCTTTGATGAAGCCTAGTAATTGTAAATCGCGGACCATAACTTTTGATGGCATATTAAAACAGTCAGAACCAGTAATTGCTTCTAAGTTTAATGACTATTTCGTCGAGAGCGTTTCACTGATCAATCAATCTATTTAACTGATCAATGAACCGGACGAAATAAAACAGCAGATTAATAGTAATTGTAGATTTAATGGTTTTCACCCAATTACATTAGATGAACTTAAAAATATTTGCTTTTCATTAGGAAAAACGGCTGGAGTAGATAATGTTAATGCTAGAGTTATTCAAGATTGCTTTCATGTCATTCGACACACTCTGCGGGACTTCATTAATCAACCATTGCAATCTGGGCACGTGCCGCATATTTGGAAAGAATCTTTAGTTGTTCCTATACTAAAAGTTGCTGGGACGATTAAAGCCGAAGAGTTTCGTCCCATCAACGTATTGCACACATTAGAGAAAATTTTAGAACTTGTTGTAAAAGGCCAGCTGTTAGAATATTGAAATAGTAACTGTTTGTTGATACTGGAACAATCGGGATACCGGGAAGGTCATTCTTGTGAAACCGCGTTAGCTAAATGGAAAGAAAATTTGAAGCATAAAGATACGGTTTTTGCTGTGTTTTTGGATCTAAAACGCGCTTTTGAGACAATTTCTAGGCCCTTATTGTTGAGAACAATCAAGCGCTTTGGAATTTCGGGTTCTGCATACAAATGGTTTGAAAGCTTTTTATCTGACAGAACACAAAGGACTGTTTTTAATGATTTTGTATCTTGTCCCGTTGACAATGACCTTGGAGTGCCTCAGGGAAGTGTATTAGGGCCCCTTTTATTTATTATGTATATTAATGACATGCGACGAGTTTTACGGTTTTGTGATATTAATCTTTTTGCTGACGATACTGTGTTATTCATTGCAGCTAAAGATTTAGAAGAAGCCGTTTCACGCTTGAATGAAGATTTGCGTTCTCTAAGTAGATGGTTGAAGTATAAACAATTTAAATTGAATATAAGTAAAACTAAATTCATGGTAATTTCGCGGAATCGTGTAGATGATGATGTCTCTGTTGTTATTGATGATGAGACACTTGATCGCGTTCAGGAAATTAAATATCTTGGCGTGATTATTGATGACAAACTCAAGTTCAATTCTCATATTGACAATGTCATCAAGAAAATTGCCAAGAAGTATGGAATTCGCGACATAGCTTGAAAAACGATTTAACTATTGGTAGTAAAATACAGTTATACAAATCAATCATCTCCTCTTTTGCCCTTCCATTTTATTTTTGGCCAATGCAACACAAATATCGAAATTACAGCGTTTGCAGAATAAAGTAATGCGTTTGATTTTAAGATGTAATAGATTCACTTCCTCAACTTTTATGCTGGACGCTTTGCAATGGCTGTCAATGAAGCAAAGAATTGTGTTTTTGACTATGGTGTTCATTTTTAAAGTAGTTAACGGTTTGCTGCCTCGATATTTGTGTGATCGGATTGAAAGAGGAAGTGATTTTCATAGATATAACACTAGAAACGCGGATGAAGTAAGAACACCACATCTTTTGAATAATTCTTTACAAAATTCATTTTTTTTCAAAGGTATAAATGTTTTCAATTTGATGCCTAGACACATCAAGCGTGCAACTACATTTACAGAATTTAAGATACGCTGCATTTCACATGTAAAAGCTGTTTATTGAGCTGTTAAATTTTTATGAATGGATAAATCATGTATCTTGACAAAGTTGTCGCTAACGGATTATTTTGTATGGAGACTGTCATAAAGACATTTTAGTAATTGGTGTAGCATATACAAAAAACTACATTGTTTGCCTCGATGGTGATGATGGATCTTTAGTTTTTTGATTTTGTAGTAGTAATAGTAAAAATAGCTTTGAGTTGTCTACAATGGTTTGAGCCACGCTGGCGGAATACAGGTATAAATGACTAATACGTGGAAATTGTGGCAAAAGCCTTGAATTAGTAAAGGGTTGGCTGGAAGAGAAATGATTTTTAAATAAAAATGGATATATTTTTGACTTATGAGCTAACGCATCGGATCAAACGTATTAGTGTTTTGTGCATGGTGAAATCATTGATATTATTGATGATTTCTGCTCGATAGAACGGAAATGGGCGATTACGACGAAGTAGCGCTCTTCCATACTGCCCAATATATTTTGCTCATTTGAATCATTTCATTAGTTGGGTTTGTCGAAGGATGCATCGGATACCACTACTTACACACCCCCAGGCTTAGCGCATTTCACATGTATACTAGCGCTACTTAGTGAGAAAATTCTGAACTACTGTCTGCCAGCGACAAGACTATGAGCCCTCAACAACTTTGTCGGAGACAGTAACTTTCTATCTGGTCAGGATCTCGATTTATTCCATGTTGTAATCAATGAAGTCAAATCCTACGTAGTATGGTCACAGTTTACGCGGTTTCCATTTACATTTTCCCTATTATCCACATTTTTAGGTGTTTACTGTAATCAAAGTTTTGCTTGTTTCGATTAAAACAAGTATTTTGAGGAATACTCGTTGGTTTCAGATCGATTGGTAACTCAGCAACAAAATGGCAATGGAAAACTCATGTGTGTTGTACAAAGTACAACTGCACGAGAAACGGAGGGTTAATCTTTCTGTATTAATCATCAGTTTGGATATGTACAATACATTCATTTCATGGTTCTAGATTTGGTCTGCCTGTAACTGTAACTTCCACCATGTCCTGAACCAGGTCCCAGTCAGCCTCGTATTATTCCGTCATCACCGGGATTGCCAGTTCTCTCCAGTACAATGGAAGCTCACGGCAACCCGACTGAAGGAGAGGACCCAGTTGACGAGATGGTAGAAGAAATTGAGAACGACAATCATAATAGCAGCTCTCGTACCGCGCAACGCAAACTTTTTCCAGGTCAAGAAAACCAAAAAAAAAAAAGCAGAAAACTCACTCCACTAAACACCGGGTTTGACCACGATTGGTTGATTCACACAAAAATCAGATCTTCGAATTAACAACATCAAACCTCCACCTCTCTGAAAAAAGGACCAAATTACATAACCGGTGGTGCTATCGAAATGGCACAGAAAGTTACTTAGAACCTTAAGCTATAATTCTCAAATGACAGAAAAACGTGATCTATGATTTTGTTTATTGAAAAAACTGATATTTATACCAAAATAAAATTACTGTTTTATCAGAAAATACTGCATACGTCCTTATCATAGCTGCCGCGATGAACGTTTGACGTTTCTTGAAATGAACAGCAGTTCGCTATCGATTCATCCTTCCTCTCGATGCAAAATGAACATCACGCGTCGTGCGAGTCGACATTCGGAATAGAGTGAGAATTGTCACGCGAGAAGGAAACGAGAATGGTCATCTCGATTCACGCGAGAAGTGGAATAAACACAATTTATTAATATCTTACCGTTAATCCCAGCCTCAATGAGATAATTTTCCTCAAAAACATTCGAAACCGAGATCGAATCAGATTTCCTTTTACATTTTTAACAACTGTTTGTTTTGGTTCTCAGCATCGAAGCAAGGGTTGCCAGTGGCTCTGAAATATTTTATGTTTCCTTAATAAATTGTACTGGTGACAAAAAAAACAATCCGGCAACCTTGATGCGGTGCTTGGTTTCAAAGTTGTGTTCTTTGGTGCGGTGAACAAGTTTCAGAGAATGACCCAATAGATGTTGCTTTAGTAAAATACAGGCGCCCAGAGCCCCATTTAACCATAGTATCTTACAATTAGCTTTAATTGCCACTAGGGCCAAATATTGGAGCCAGGGCTAAAATTGACTCACTTGAGATGGCAGTAGGCCGCGCTTGAAAGCTGACGTGTTTTTCTTTTGCTGCGTATTTTTCGTCAGCGAATTGAATATTTTTTGCTTTAAATTTGTTAATTTGTGTGTGAAATTTAAAGGGTGTCCACGATGAAATTGCCACACACAAAATTGATTCGCAAAATTCGAGTTTTCATCCGATTGCCATCAAATTTTCAGGGATTGAGAAATAACTATTAAACTTCATTTTACCATTTTACTCGTATTTTATTTACAGTCCATACGCAAATGCCCGCACCTTGGCCTTAACCCCGGCCATAAGATTCTGCACAACCTGTGAATCAACCGTTTTTGCATGTAAACCCATACTTTCTTCAGTTCCTCGACTGTCTTCACTACCTTAGGTTGTTTAAGAAGGTGCTGCTTCATAATCGCCCAGAGGGTTGAACATTTTCGGCACGAAATTGACCTTATTGTCCGCATACTACTTCAGCACGTCCTTGGAGTAGTGGCATGAGGCCAAATCCGGCCAGAAGATTGTTGAGACGTTGTGGGCCTTCAGGAGAGGAAGCAGCCGCTTCTGGAGGCACTCTTTTATGTACACCTGTCCGTTCATCGTGTCCTGGGTCACGAAAGGTGCACTCCGCTTCCCGCACGTGCAGATGGCTTGCCAAACCAGGAATTTCTTCGCAAATTTGGACATCTTCTGAGTGCGGACATGCTCCGGAACGCTGAACTTATCCTTGGCCGTGAAAAACAGGTTGCCGGGGATCTGTTTGAAGTCGGCCTTCACATATGTTTCGTCGTCCATGATGCAGCATTCAACTTTCGTCAGCATGTTGAGGTACAACTTCCTGGCACGGGCTTTGGCGGACTTGTTCTGCTTCTCGTCGCGATTAGGGGCCTTTTGTACCTTGAACGTTCGAAGCCCAGCCTTAGTTTTGGCCTTCTGGACAAAACTTCGGCTTAGGTGCAGCTTCTTAGCCACATCCCTAACGGAGGCGTTCGGATTTCGGTTGAAGGCCCCAACTACGCGGTTGTGATTTTTGGTGTTGTACGGAATACTTTTTCCTTCACTTCTGGGCTTCCGATCGGTGGTCAACCGTTCCTCGAACCGCTTAATCACTCGCGACACCGTGGAATTCGCGATTCCCAACGTTTTAGCGATGGAACGATGCGAGAGATCCTTGTTCTCGTGATGAATGCGCAAGATTTTATCACGCACGAGCTGTTCTTTCGACTCCATTTCCGCGAGTTTTGATCACAGGACTTTAAAACTTTCAGGATGTAAATAATGCACTATGAACTAAATCCCCCCAAATTTTCATTAAATTCTACCCAACGGTTAAAAAGTTAGAGCAATTTCATAGTGTGGCAATTTCATCGTGGACACCCTTTAAACAATTGATTTGATAGATTTCGGGGGACTGTAGGTTGGTTGTCCGAAGGTTTCCCATACAACCGTGTTGCTTTAGGAGATCATCATTTTAGTCTATTGATACATGTCACACTTTCTAAACCCCACTCCCCCCGCAGGTCTGCCCCCTGACGGAAACGATCACCTGTACGATGGTGCTGCAGTTCACCGCCAGCGACGCCAGCAAGGTAAAGCAGTGCCACAACTGTTCCACGACGATCGACTGTCGCACCCACCGGAAGATCTACCAATGCCGATCGCTCTTTACCTGGAACATCACCAGCGGCGAGTGGACCGTGCTGGATTATGGCAGTCTCGCCTCCGGTCCATTGCTGGAAGTCAAGAAGCTGGCCAGCAACTATAACCGGCTGCTGGGCAAGCTGCGCAAGTTCACCCGGAAGTTGTTTGCCTCGTCGTCATCGCCGCAATTGGACGAACTGGATAGCAATAGGACGTACGAATATCTCAACCACCTGAGGGTGTTGGATTCGAACAACGAAAAAACCAAGCAACGCTTGGTTGATCTGGTGCACATGATCGAGTTCTTCCGGAAACAACCGCACGATACGTCGGGGGACAGCGATGATAGCGACGACGATGATTCGGTTAGCTCGGCGGGCACGTCCGCGAATGACGAAGAAGAGGAGGATGATGCTAATACGGTGCTGGAAGGGGACACGCTCACCTCCGATACGGTTAGTGATGAGGATGATATTTGAACGGGGGAGAGAGTTCTTTTAGCTAGGAATGAAACGTGTTTTATGGATTCGTTTTTAGGGTCGAACTGATACAGAGGAACGTCGTGATATTCATGTGTAAAGAGAGAGAGAGCGTTTTCCTATTTTCCTTCTACCTACTTTCACGTGTTTCTTCGTGTCTTAGAAGTATTTTTCTGATGTGTCTCTCTTTCTCTAAATGTACGGAGCAATCTTTTTAGCGTGTAGATTTTAGAATTCGTCAAATCGAGTAAGTCGACAGGAGAAGCATTGTGGCGCAAAGGAGGGTAGGTTTTAAGCCCCGTCAATCGATTGACTGATTGATATTGTTCATTAATTTTACTACAATCCGCGTAGCAATTCTCCGCGCAATCATCCCAGATAAAAACGTATTTATTGAGTCCACACCATTTTCCATTAAGTTGTTAAGAATGCAGAAGAGACACTGTGGAAAGAAGCAGGAATTGTGAAAGGTCACTAGTAGGTGACTCTGCCAACCTACCATACATTTAGAATAAAAGTGGAACCGATATTAGTGATAATTGGAAATGATAAATGCTACTACTACTAGGCTGAGAAATAAAGAGAAACCAGTTCAGAGAACAAAATGCTCATTAATTCGTTAATATGAAACGGTAAAACTAAACCCGAACAGAAAGACAAAGTTCAGATCGTGTGTGTGAATTACCTAAAGATAATGTGTATGAATAAGTCTGAGTAACATTTGCGCTTTTGTCTCCTATTAAAACTTTGTAAGGCATCGAAAAGCTAATAATAAAGAGAGTTAGAAGTTCCAGAAGCTAATCAAGATTGTAATCGATTCACGTCTACTACAAACATTTCGGAGGGCTAACTTCCAGTAATAATTGAGAACGTTTCGTGGTTCAGAATAAAGTTTAAAAACTGAAGAAAAAAAAACCTTAATTCCCTAGAAAGAAACCCAATGGGAAATTCTCTTCAACTAAAATTTCCTTCGCATCTCAGAAGTAGCAGTTTCATCGAATTTATTCATAATCTTAAAACGAAAATACTTACCATACCGGGAACCCCAAATCACTGCGAATCGCTCGAGCTGGAGCTGGAACTGTCCGTGGACATCACCTCCACGTCGTCCTGCGAGGCGTCCTTGTGCGCCCGGGTGTCCAGTGGAACCGACCCCGCTCCGGATCCCATCGTCATGTGCAGTTCCCCGGACGGGTGCCAGGCAAACTGATTCTGAGCCGACGCTGGGATTTCTGCCACTCCACCTCCGGCTCCCGCGGCACCACCGCCGACCGCTGTCGTGTTCCGGTGTAACTCGTTCAGACTGTTCTGGTTCTGTAGGTTGTGCCCATTGATGTTCAGATCCGACTTGCCCAGGAAACCTAACCGCATCTCAATGTCCGTCGGGTAGGGCCTCCGCAGATCACCCTGTTGCCACGTTAGCGGTGCACAGATCGCATTCGATGCACTGATCCGGTGGGCAAACTTGATCAATTCCTCCGACGATACCGGCCGCTTGACGGCTTTGTTAATACTGGTCAACTTCTGCCGTGCCTGGAAGATCGACGTCGCCAGAATGTGTTCGGCTTCCTTCAGCTGCTTCTGCAGCTGATTGATTTCCTCGTCCTGCTCCTTGACCTGTTCCCTCAGTCCATCCATCTTTTTCTCGATGCCTGCCTGTTCGGCTGCCAGCTGCAGCGTTGACTTCAGTTCCTTATCCTTGGTTACGAGCAGTTCCACCAGCTGCCCATGATCAACACTGGATATTTTCTGATGTTTCGGAGCTATCGTGTTCTCGATCAATTCTCTGCGAAAATTCACAAATAATTACCGCACACCAAACCAAACGAGAGAACCTCCACTTACTTTGCAATGATTTCGATGTCGTCCACGATGGCCAGCAGGCGCTCCTTAGTGCTTAGATGATAGGATGACATGGTAATTTGGGTGAATTTTCCGATTATTGAACCAAAGTTGCACTATAAAGCCGGATTATACGCACGGGCGGAGAATCCACATAAATGCTAAACGCTGCTGATTGTAAACAATGCCAATTCTGACGTTTCGATTTGTCTTTCCGATGAGCTGTGAAAAAATGTGTGAAGGAAGCTGAATGGCGCGTTTAGTGCATCTATAGTCCCAAGTGTGATTCTCTGATGGGATGAATCCGGTGTGTCTTCCCGGGAATATTGCTGATCCGAACTCACAGCAAAAGGAATTTTAATATCGATGTTCTTCGTACAACGTAACACAACCAGCGGAATGACCTCTGTGCAGCTTTTTGGATGTAATATTCAACAACTTTTTTTTTCCTGTGTGGAAATCCTCTGCGGGAGAGAAGCACACGAAAAATATTGCCCATTTTGCACCTCACTGGACTCCGTACTTTGAAAGTGCGGGCCATGCGTATGGCAGATAGAGTTGTCAAAGTGACAGTTATGCTTATCCGAAGTGAATACAAAAACATTGGCTTTTGATTGTCTGTTCGAGTCACAAAACACGATTTTTTCACTCTCATTGCATTCTACTCGAAACACGTGTAAAAATAATTTTGCAAAATATTTGCAATTTTGCAAACAATTCTAAATTACTTATTTGTGAACAATTATATGGTTTTCCAAGTATGAATTAGATTGAAAATGATTTTGAGACGTGTTTTAATTCAAATTGTACACCTTTTTTGTTTCCAAATGTGTTAAACTCAGGGGGTAAGTCACTCTGCCACATTGTGCTAACACCCACACAAACACACTTCGACACACTTCAAACACCCTTCCACCGTATGATAAGCAAATTTTTTATTCAATTCTGGCACCACTGCAAATAATGTTTACATTCGATTATTATTTTGTTGTTTTTATATTGTTGTTGTTGTTTACAGTTACAACGATTCGACCCCAGATTGGTACGATTGAGTACGAGGATTATCGGTAAATCTCGATACCGTCGGAAGTGATATAGTAATGGATTTTCGGGACACCACAGGACAAAACTTCTAGATAGAGCTGGAATTAGGGCGTAACAGCTTTTGTAAACAACGACTTCTCTCGAAGATTTCTAGGAATTCAAGGCACGCCCACGCTATCCAATACAACCATCGGGTAGGGGAAGTCTTCCTCTAGCCGATGGTGATGTTGATTTGCGTGGACGAGCCTTGATTTTGCAGAAATCATCGAGAGAAGTCATTGTTTACAAAAGCTATTACGCCCTAATTCCAGCTCTATCTAGACTTGAATGTGGATTTGCCCCGAAGGTCTCTGCTCGTAATGTCCGGTGAAAGTCGATACGGATGGACTCATGGAATAACGCTGAGAAAGATGGATAGGGTAAGGTTGAATAACAGCCTTAGGAAACGTGAATAAAGAGTATCGTTTACGTTCAGAAAGTTGAATGACGGCCCTTGCCGTTGCTAGTTTAGTTCTCTGTGTGATACGTATCAACAAGAAGCGAATGATAGAGCTGATCGTATCAAAGAGAACGTTGCCGAATTGGAGCTGGAAGCACTCGCCGTGGCCACGAATTACAGGTGTTCTTGGAATCACTTAGTCCCGGGGCCGTCCTGCTGAACATTGGATGCGGTAATGGTAAATACCTGGGGTTGAATCCTCAGATCATTGACTCGGGCTTCGATCGGAGCGACGGATTATTGAAAGTTTGCACCGCCCATGGCTTCATTTGTGGTACAATTCGACTGCCTGGCGTTACCCTTTAAAGCGGCATATGCAGATGCTTGCATCTGCATACCCATTATGCATCACCTGGCATCGCGGGAACGTCGTAGGCAAGAGATTGGGTAAATGTGTCGATTACTTCGCCCAGGAGGACGGGCACTGATTTAAGAAAGGCAATCAGGCTATATACGGCAGAACAAGCACAACAATAAGCCACCGTGGGATGGAGAGCCGGAGAAGGTGGTTCCGATTGAACATGGTGACGGAGAATCGGTGCTGATGATTCCCACCAACAGGACGCAGTTCCAGCATCAGGATTTACTGGTTCCTTGGAAGTTGCGTGGCGTAGAACGGCAGCAGCAGAAAGCGAAGGTAACTTTTCTCATGTATTACCCTGCGTTCGAGGAGACGGAGATGTCCGAATTGTGTTTGGTGGTGGGCGGGATTAGCGTGGAAGATAGTTACTATGACCAGGGGAATTGGTGTGTTATTTTTAGAAAGGAATGAACATTTAGACCATTAAGGTGATCGATCGACTTGACTTCATCCGAAATGTGGATTTATTTAAAATACCAATTCATTTACTCATCATCAACCGCTTTCACGACACTGTAGAAATTGACCAACTCCTCATAGTTATAATTCTCCAGCAGGTCTGTCAACTGCGGCAGTTTCGTCTTCACATTGACCCCTTTGAACTTTAACTTACTGAGGTACATATCGGTCAGAATCTCGTAGATGCGGTTCATCGTTTTGAACGTCCAAGTCAATCAGTGTCTGCAGTATCTGGTGGTCCTTCGTCAGCTTGTTGTAGTTAACGATCTTTGGCTCGATCAATTTGATTAATCCGGGAAAGGTTTGCCCTTTGATATCTGAAAATGGGTGCTACGCTGTTATCAATCAAATCGAATTTGTTGAAAGCTGTTACTTACTGGTTGAAATCTCCAGCTTGATCCGTTTCTTGGTGGCTTCCTTCGTAATAAAGTCCTTCAGAATCTAAATGGTAGAAATGTTGTCGCTTCCGCCTAGCCGTATTCACAAATCAGAAGACGATGAAGACGTGACGGGAAAAGAGCCTATTCCTTTCGTTTCCATAAATATTTTTCGGTATTTCCAGGATACTGTTCATAAACCAGTTGTGCATTTCAGCCCTGACTAAAGGTGCCCTTGAGAGTGAGCACTTCATCAGGCACCAGGTTAGGCGCCCATTTCGTCTTCCTACTCAAGTGGAGAACAGGAGAATCTGTCATTATCAGCGTTATGTTGTTATGATTGAGGATATGGTTGCCAGTAAATATATTTTTTTGGTTGAAGTTTTGACAGCTCGGTCAACACGATGAAACACATTCCGACACCCAAAAACACACTGGAAACACAATAAGCACAGACACAAGGTGGCAGAGTGACTTACCCCCTGATGATTGCTTAATAAGCTCGATTTTTTTCAGGCCTCAGCGATATTGTCACGATCAGCTGATGTTTCCAGATTGCATTGTGACATTAAAAAAGTTGTTCGAAGGGACAGAATCAGCGAATGAATGACATTTCTTATGAAAAAATTCTAAACATTGTAAGGAGAATTCCAAAATCATTACAAAGCCATAATAAACTATCAAATATTCACGCAGCAATAGTTTTTAATAAAAATAAACCGAATAGATTATTTAAATAGAAAAAGATTGAATATTTTCGTTTTACGAAACAGTTCGGTAAAATATACCGAACCGTTCGGTAAAAAACTACCGAAACGTTCAGTAATGTTGACAGTTCATCAAAAAAAAATGTTTACGGATCGTTCGGTAGTCTTTTCGATTACCGAACTGATTACCGAACGTTCAGCTGTTGAAAGTTCGGTAAAAAATTACCGAATACGGTAAAAATTTCTAAGTGTGTAAGGCATCTTTTGAGATGATTGCTTAGAATTTTGATGGCTCAAAAATATGAGGTATTCAAAAAGATACAAGTCTCTCACAAAAATATTCTCCGAAATTTGAGGGTGGGCTGTCCATAATAAATTTGTTTATTTAAAAAATATCGGTATAAATCGGTATAAAATCTCAAAAATCGGTATTCTGAGGAACCTTATCTGTATATCGGTATCTGGTTCGGAAATTGTAGACAAAATCGACTAAGTCCACGTAAACAGTATCACTGAACTGTCATCAGATTGAGGTTAACCCCGACTGTGCAAAACCTAATTAACACAGGCACAAATGTGGCAGAGTGACATCCACCTGATAGCTTTTTTTAATTTAATTTAGTTTTTCCCGGTAGCATTTTCTGTTTTCCCGGGAACACAACCCATTTAAAAATTCATCCATCTCACGCACGCGTTCATCGAAAACGGATTTTTCATTTCGTTTTCGTTGTTCTCATTCAACTTGACGTTTTTCTTGTCAGTCGTTCGTTTGCCAATCATTTGCGTGGTCGGTCGTTGCTTCTCCCCGGATCTTGTCTCGGGTTTTTTTGTCCACCGATGGTGTTTCGGCTGGTGTTCTTCTAATAAGCGGAACTTTTTTCTTTTTTGCGGTGACCTCCCTCTTGTGTGCCCCTCTCGAATTATTGGTGCTCTTTGCTTGGAAAAAAAAAAAAATTATTGAATTATCGGTGCAAAAAGCTGTGTAAATAATCGTCAATATTGTTTTGTGTGATTCGATGTGAGAACGAGCGCAAACAGGGTGAAGTTACTACGCTGCGGAAATTACCTATTATTTATCTTGGCTTCTTTTGGTCGTCGGTTCGGGTCGGCGGGGTGTGTTTGCGAAAATCTATAGAATTTTATTGGCAGTTTGTTTGCCGTTCGCGAACGAAGCATTACTGCGTGTCTCGTTCTCATTCCGCGAGTGAAGGAATCGAAGGAATAGAAGCCGCGAGGGCAGAAGCACCTACTTCGAGTGGAAAATGTCAATAAAGCAATAATAACCTGCTTGTTGTCATTTACCTACCACTCAGAAGAACAAACAGGTTCCCCGTGGCAGCCGCAGGAGGGCAAAGTGATAATCAGAAGAGCAAGGGCTTATCTCATCTAAAATCTGGAATTTGTGGAAAGAGTAGAAAAGTGTCGAAAGTTACCCTACAGCCGTGGTAGAGCAGTTCCTACACCCGAGCGACACGCAGGTCATCGGTGCTGCAATCGCCGTCATCATCGTCGACAGTTTTTAATATGCACATATAATTACACCTTTCAATCGGATTCAGCGGAAAGTCACACACAGACAGACATCAGCAGCTAGCCAGACTCACCAGGGAACAGAGCTTAGAAAATTGGCCCATTGTAATACACGAACAGACCGAAACGCGTTTTTTACGTAATAGAATACGACGACGACGACAAGCTGGCTTAGAGACACTTTCGACGAAAGACCTAGTTCTCTGCTGCACGGCTGGACGTCCGTGAAGATTTTGGTTTACGGCTTATTATTTGAGACAGTGTTTCTCAACACAGTTCGACAACAAGCTGACGAGTGGTCAACAAAGAAAGGACGGCAAAAACAACACGCGAAGCCATGTCGATCGAGGACCGCTTCAATGCTGCGGTGAACGTTATTCGCGGGCTGCCGAAAAATGGTAAGATTTATGGTTCAAACTGATTTGCGATAAGCTTCCAGGTTGTTTGTTGAGTTCGGTGCGCGAAAGAGATTAGCAAGCTGTTTATTTTGTCAATTTAAATGCTAACTGCCCCCCTTTGGTTAGGGTATAATGCCTATAATTGCGTATCAGTCTCATATGGAAAGAGAATGCATTTACGAAAAGGAACTGAAATTCGCATGTAAATATTAGAAAAATCATGGTAAATTAATTGATAATTATTTTCAAGTTAAAATCAGTTACAATGCAGCTTGCATGTTTCTTTTATATCAGCGAAAAATATGGCAATTCAAAAAGCAGAACTGTAACTTGACCTCTGGACGATTGAATTTCAGGACGGAACTGATATGCGATTACCTTGCTTGATAGTTTTATCACATAACTCGAATGTAGATGCCAATTGATAGAGGATAGCGTTGTTATCTCAAAATTGACGAAAATACATATGGGACTGATGTGCGATTATATGCAGTACATGGGCTATATCTTATCAATACGTCAAAGTTTCTTTGTTGGATGTGAAATGGGATTAAACACCCGCGCAGCAAAATCGATAGCATTTTTATACATTCAGATTTTTTGTACCCGTAAACCTTCAAAATATGCTAACGATCCCACGTCTGCACTGTTATTCAAACTAGTGTCGCAACCCCGCCATATGAATCGGCTGAACTGGTTTGGAAAATAGCTTTTTGTAACAAAGCATCTTTGGTAGCGGCCTGTCGGCAGTTGCGACCACTATAAAAAGTTTCCTATTAATGTGTGGCTCTGTTGCAGCAAAAGAATGTAATCCAAACCGGTCCAGCAGCAGTGCTGGTTCAGTGATTCGACCGTAAACTTGTTGCAGTCGTTATATATGCATCTATTAAGGTTTTCCAAATCATACAAGACATTGGTGGAACCAACAATCGTGTCATTCTATGGAATTAAGCGCTCGTCAACGACGGTAATTGGATAATAAGGAACTAATGCCGCGGATACACTTGTATGACAAACTATGAACATGAGCATTATTTGTATGATAAATTATGAGCACATCCATGGTCACACTCGTCCTCCCTTAGCTCAGTCGGTTCGGTGTTCGCAGCTACAAAGCAAGACCATGCTGGAGGTGGCTGGGTTCGAATCCCGGTCCAGGCGAGGAATTTTTCGGGTAGGAAAATGTCTCGACTTCCCTGCACATAGGGTATAATTGTACTTGCCACACAAATATACTGGGTACAAGCATCGAAAGCTCTCAATTAATAACTGTGGAAGTCAGCCCAGTGGCAGGCGCGTAGGCAACATTTTATACAGTGACAGCGGGCCCAGCACAGCAAAATAAATGATTTGAGCCCGGGACATGCTGCCTACTGTCAAACGCTGTTGTTGGTATAGGCCTTGTCACTGGCCGGGTGGAAGTGCATCTTGAACACTAAAGGGCGAACACGAAATTATTGCAACACTTACAACTGGCTGTATCTTTATTCCAACTAGCCGGAAATTAACCAAACTTTGCACAGTTTCTCTTTGAAGTGTATTGTATACATCCTGCAAATTGCGTTATTGTCTGTGAAAGTGAGTAAAGTGAAGACGGATCACAAGCAAGGAGCAGGAAGAAAATCGGGAGCAGCATGTAGGAAGTCGGAGGGAAAGGTGAAGGGTAATTTCACCCGAAACAACAAGCGATTAGCATTAGCTCTACCATCGAAGAAGTTGCACAATATTGTAGGTGGTACGAATTCAAAACTATTAAGAGCAAGACGGATATCGATAACTGGACAGATAGTAGGAAATAATTACTATCTCCCAGACATATCCCTCTCCAACAGTTAAGGATTGTCCTGGCCACGTCCTTGCAACTGGAAGGGATAGGAAAGGTATGTTAGACCAACATTTACTTAAGAGAGATGCAGAGAGCTCTACGACTCCTCATAAATGTCTCGGGAATTTAGGAATTATGTTAGTAGGAAGGCAAGCCATAGGATACACTCAGTCAGTGTTGCTGACAAATGTAGATTTTTTTTAATAAATATGATTCTATCAAAAGTGTATCGAAACCAATTTGTATCATTTGTGATTTATGGTAATTATTATTAACAATTCTTATTTATGCTTATGATAATACTTAAAATACATTACAAACTAGTATAGTATTTTAAAGGTGAATTTCGGGTTAAATTAGATAAAGTTTAGAATCGCGATTTACACTCATTTCTATTAATAAGCTGATTATATAACTAATTGACATTGACAGGATCGTTTTTTGGCAGACGAGCGTTGCCCTGAATAGAAGTCATTTCGGTAATCTTCCCAGCAGCCCTAACCAGGGATGGAAAATCATTTACATTCATTTCGTGCATTCATTTACATTCATTTGCCTTTAACTTTTTTCATCCTCAGAATTCCATAAAGTAGTGTTTGAAGGTTTTGTAGGCTTTGATATTAGCTACATCTTTTGTAAACAGCTTAAATCTGTATCTCTTATGCATGATGAATCAGAGTGATAAGAACCCACCTTTGTTTTTCAGTGAATGTAAATTGCATTCACTGAAAAACAATAACATGTTCTGCCAGCTCTATTTCGTCATGCATAAAAGATACAGATTTTAGTTATTAACAAAAGTTGTAGTTCATATAAAAAACTACAAAAGCTTCACACATCATTTTACGGTATTCTGTTGATGAAAAAAAGTTAGAGGCAAATGAATGTAAATGAATGCACGAAATGAATGTTAATGATTTTCCATCCCTGGCCCTAACGACTGGAAACAACGTTTAAATTTTGTCCACAAAATATTAAACGTCTGCTCGAATCATCTAAAGCCGCTCAGCCGACTAACGCAACATCAATACACAAGACGAAGTCCAATCTATACCTGACGTATGCCAGACGAACCTGAATAATGGGATATACCTACTCTCTCAGTGCCCATTAGACTGATGCAAAATCCAACACCTCCGCTCCACAGCGCTTAAACAGCCAAAAATTGGGCCCCGACTAGACCCCCAAAACCCGAACCCATCCGGCAAGAAAATAACACGGCACAAACCGTCCTAAGTCTATATGGAAATTACTATAGGAAAACCAAACATTCCAGTTCGAATGGTCTGCCTAATCCCTAATGCATTGATTTCTAAGCATATCGATATCACTGCCATGACAAAACACGTTAAATAGTGCACCTAAAAACGAGATTTTTTAGGTGGCGGGTGGCAAGTTTGTGAATGGTCAAATGCCTGACCGGTTTGAATGTGTGAGTTTAAATTAGAAAAACATTTGTGATGTATGGGTGTCTAAAGCGTGCATTTCTCGTTGTGCACTTGGATATCTGATTGCAGGCAAAGAGAGTACTGGAGAAAGAGAGCGCAAAAGCTCGCTCTCACTCTCTTGTCAGTTGTCAATCTCTCAATTACCGGTGCGCCTGTCAAAACTTATGAGCTCTCCCTGGTTCATTCTCATAGTGTTGTTCTGATGAATAAAGAGTTGATCAATTGGCGTTGACGGCGACTCTGTAGCTCTTTACTCCTATGAGAAAATCCATAAGCAAACGTCAGACTGTGCGTGAAACATGGCGGACTTTGTACTATCCTTTCACTCCACCGAAAATTCCCATAAGAAACTGTCTATATTTGCTGAAAGAGCAAATTTTTCGACGGTGCCGTCAACGCCAATTCAAGTTTGCTACCCAGGGGACTATGAATTTTCTCTAGATTTTGACACTGTTTTGTATAAAAAAATGTTTTAGGAAGTGTTTGACGGATATTCCTTCAGTCAAAAGAGTTAGCCTTGTGATAAAAACGAGAATTAGTTAAGTTTTGCAATTCCTCCCACTTCGGTTAGCGCGTAAAGGGCTATACAAGTTTTGTTTACACAAGATGATTCAAATGTTACGTTAGGTAGTGAATAATATAGCTGTTCGCTCTTCGATAAGCTGCACACGCGGCGTGGAATATGGCCACAGAAAACGGGGGAATTCGGATCACTCGGACGAACTATAAATTAAACGCGTGGACTACACAGAAACGACCGTATCGTGCGGTGGTCAAAAGCCTAGTTCGCAGTTTATTCACCCTCATTACCTAGCTTGCCCTAGAGAGTCTGTGTTCGGGTCAGGCTGTAAAAATGCTCTCTTCTCTACACTAACACAAATGATTACAAGTGATAAGGACAGATAACAAAAGACATCAAGAGAAACTCTACACAAAACATCGAACCTTCTACCTAGCTATTCTAGTCGTTTTGTACTGAACATGCTGCTCCCATTGAAATAGAATGATTTCAATCTATTCGTTCTTAGTCGTCGTCGTCGTCCTCTGCGTGGAGCTCATCATCGGGATGCACATTGTTGTCGTCGATCGGCAGTAAACACAGCTTGGCAATCGGTCGTCGGATCAGCTTACTTTCAGTTCGCACGTTTGTTACTCGCACCAGTCCGTCTTGACCAGGGAATACGTCCTCGATTCTCCCAAGTTTCCATTTCATCGTCGGCAAATTGTCTTCTCGGATGATCACCATTCACAGGTACGGGTTTGTGCCATTTGTTCCGGTTCTGCAGCGTCGTGATATAGTCTTGCGACCAGCGAGCTCAAAAGTGTTGTACCATCTGGGTCTGCCGCTGCCAGCGCGACAGTGTTGTTTCCTTTCGGTCCGAAAGGTCTGGTTCGGCGGTATCAGTCAGTGGACGTCCCACCAAGAAGTGTCCAGGGGTGAGAGGACTGGCATCATTAGGATCTTCCGATAGCGCAGTGATAGGCCTTGAGTTTAGCAGGGCTTCGATGCGGGCAAGAACGGTTGTGTACTCTTCGAAGTTCATGTTGGCAGTTCCAGTAATGCGCTTCAGGTGGTATTTGGCAGATCGCACGCCGGCCTCCCACAGTCCACCGAAGTGCGGGGCGTGAAGTGGGATCAGGTGCCATTCGATAGCGGACTTCGTGCAGAAATCGTCCAGTTTGATTTTGAGTTGCTGGGACTGGAACATGTCGTACATTTCCCTCAA